AATTTTCACTGTAAGGTATCTGTACTTTTACTCAAGTATGTTTTTTAGGTACTCTTTACACCTCTGCATTTAATGCATCTAAAATTTCTAGTGGCCTCAATGTGAACAAACAAAGCAAATGGAGCAGGGATGTCAGCACCATGCTGTGAAATAATTTTACTCATACTCTGAGTTTCTCATCAAACACTAGTGTACCGAACATGCTCATTAAACTGCGCTAGCACATTCTGTGCAGCACAGCGGGACGTCCACCATGAAATTAAGTCGCTTTAACTCGTGTCTCGCTGGGGTGTGAGTGTATGTGATCACGCTCAGTTCAGAAAGAACCATTCTGACTCGAGGGAACGACCTGTGATTTGTTTAAACATGAGGGAAGTGGTAGACCGGCCAGATTGCAACCGCAAACACACAGAAGAACCGATGCGGGGAATGATTGCTCTCGTTGTTAGGGAAAAGCCTTTGCTGGGTTTTGGCAAGCGACGCTACACACAAGAGACCGGCTCATGTTTCCACAGATGCTTAAATAGGCTTTTTTTAAAAAAGCCCTTAGAAGTCAGTATGTACTGTATGTGGATGTGTGTTACTGAGCTAGAGAAACTATAATAATTTGAGTAAAAACAGTTAGATTGTGTCTTTAGCATTTGAAATAGTTGTCCATTTGTAGCGTTTAATCCATGCCTTTTATCTTTGATGCACTCTTTTTGCTTGTGTTATTCTAAAAGTTGACAAAAATAACTTTTAGTACATCTATAGTCTCTTTGGTGAGCACAGACCAAAAATACTGATTGCTCATCTTGAATACACAGGCAATTTTTGTTGGCTACAGATCTAGATCTAGCAGTAGTTTCAAAGCTAAACTAGGGTCATAATTTTTGTCCAACTAAATGAGCCTAAGCAAACCCAATGATGAAAGTCTTGCTTTTAAATAGTAATATGATCATACCCGGTGAACTCTGAGGTGAGGATCCGGGAGAGCAGCGTGGAGAGAAGCTGAGGCCGGGGTGGAAAGAGTGAGATGGGATATACGACATGATCTCCTCATCAAATAGACTGAATGACAGAGAGGAAACATCTTAGAATGTATGCAGAAAACATATTTGTATTTATTTATTTATAAATATCGTATAATTAATCAAAGTTAAATATCTTAAAAATTAATAAAAAATAAGATAACAAAAATAATTGATCAATATAATATAAATATGAAGTAAAAATAGAACATTCTGTTAGTTTGTAAATTGTTAGTTAAAGGGGTCATGACATGAGAAATCAAATTTGCCTTGATCTTTGTACCATTAAAACATCCTGCAAGTTTCATAGCTTAAAACGTCCTCCTCATTATAAACAAAGCATTTATTTAATCAAGCTCCAAAAACGGCTCGTTTTGGATCCGAGGGACAAGGTGACGTCACCTGGGCACAAGCATTTGCATAAACACGCCTCCAGAGCAAGACATCGACGAATAGTCTTCTTCTCACCATAGGCTCCGCCCACTGGCGTTCCCTCGCTTAAAGGGATAGTTCACCCAAAAATGAAAATTACCCCATGGTTTACTCACCCTCAAGCCATCCGAGGTGTATATGACATTCTTCTTTCAGATGATTACAATCTGAGTTATATTAAATAATGTCCAGGATAATCCATGCTTTATAATGGGAGTGGATGGTAGCCCAAAATTTGAAGTCCATCCATTATAAAAGAAGTCCACACGGCTTAATAGTACAAAACGAGGATTCGAGAGAGTGGCGTCCAGCGGATGACGTAGGCGTAGCATAAGCTCCGGGGAGAATATGCTAGTCTCGCGAGAAACAAGTTTAGTTTACAGCAAAGGAAAACTAGTGTCCTCTTGGTTTATATTGAAATCCTCCGACATTTTTCTTTGCAAATCCTCGTTTTGTGCTACTAATTCGTGACCGGTGTTTTGTTTCGCTCTCTCCTCTGCGCTTCCACGTTCATCACTTCTGCGCTCGTCACGTTTGCCTACGTCTTACGTCATCCGCTGGACGCCACTCTCGTGAACGAGAAGCTAGAGATTAAGGTTTATAAAGTTGTAAATATGGATATTTGTCTTACACAAACGCATCACGTCGCTTCAGAAGGCCTTTATTAACCCCCCGGAGCCGTGTGGACTTCTTTTATAATGGATGGGTGCAATTTTTTCGACTTCAGATTTTGGGCTACCATCCACTCCCATTATAAAGCATGGATTAGCCTGGACATTAGACGCTTTTGTCCATCAGTGGACGCTTTTGTCTACACTGGATACAGTATACAGATGCGCGCTCGCTTTCTGACACAGTCCACTGCTTCACAGTTTTGCTGCTTTTTTTGTGCAAAAAAATTTAAAATATTTTTTTGCATTATAAGTAAACCTCAAGGAACATTAAAATAATAATAAAAAAAAAAATCCATGTCATGACCCCTTTAACATGTTCTAGTATTCTATCTAGTATTCAGCTGTGTGTTAGCTGTTTTGAGAGTTTGACTAGTTGATTAAGCCACTAGTAACTAGTCCTGCATGCTGGTCCATGTGAGTGAGTCATATGTTTGCCGAACGCTGGCACTGAATCAAACGCTGAGGACTGTGTTCAAAGACTCTTATATACTACTGCCTGTCAAGCCTTGAGGTTTTGGTTTGCAACAAAAACACCGCGCTCATGCAGCATTTCCCGTCCCTCACACTGCAGTCACTGTACCTTAACAGCATGACCAGGTCGGCGTCACAGGACAGCTTTTCAACGCCCTGAGGACCTTCAGTTCTGATGTAATGGATTTTCTCCCTGAGAGAAAGCATGCACGGAGCACGTAAACATTCACACAATCTCACATGTCCACTTTCCACACTGAGTAGCTTTTGAAAGGTCTGAACTAATGGAATGTTAATTGTTTTTAAAAAAGTAACAGTAAAGCACTTCACTAGCTGAATGGAATTATAGCGTGCATTCTGGAATGCTTTTAAGATAATGATGGGCTCGCTGCGTTAGAGCCACTGTTAATGCACTGTTAGTTAAATGCTGATTCACCATCACAAACTTAGTTTTTTTTACATGTTTTAAGCATGTTTCATGCATCTTTATTGTGTCAGACTGTAACTGTGTTGCTATATGAGCTTAACACATCAATGTTAGTCATAATTCAGTGATATTTTAGTATTATGTATATACTATTATAGTATTTATTAATATTTTGAATTGGCTTTTATTTTATATTTTCAGTTGTCATTTTAATTTTAATTTAAGTTTTAGTAATTTTTTGTCAGTTGTATTTTTTGTTTTATTGCAGTTTTTATTTTTAGTAATTATATTACTTGATTGAACTTATTTTATTTCAGTTATTTGCAATTAATTACATGATGTTTGGATTAATTAATCGCAAAATAAATTTGACTGAAAATACCCACAAAATATTATTTAAAGCTATTTTTGTGTTAAATGAGAAAGTACCATGTAGACATTACAAATTGTAGCTTTAGAAAGAAATATTTTGTTTGATTCAACATAACATTTATTACACAAACATTTAGGCAACAGCTATTTTAAGTTTTTATAATTTAGTTTTGGACTTTTGTAATTGTATTAGTTTTTTGTTTATTTAGCTTTAATGCATTTTTATCTATTTTTATTTTTTTATTTATTAGTTTCAGTCATTTTATTACTTTATATTAAACATTTTATTTCTGTTGGTGCTCAACCCAAACTTTATTTAATTTTTTATTCTAAATTTTAATCTAATGTTTAATTTTTTTTAGATAGTTTATATTTTTATTTTAGCAATTTTAATACTTCAACTTGAACCTATTTTATTTCTGTTAGCAGCCAAGGCAACATTTAAAATGTTTGATTAGGGTTTTCAAGTTTAATATGTTTCAACTAATATTTATATTTAATTTATTTAAGCTTTATTTAAATGAACTAAAATGTTTTTAACAGTTTTAGATGACAATAACAGCATAATTGATTTATGCTCTCTGAAAACCCAGAATAAACTCCCAGAATGCAACAGTTTTGCTGGTATGTTACAATGCTTTTATTTTCTTTGGCATAAAATGTCTGTCAAGTTCTGCTCACTGTCATATAGCATGACATATTTAACAAATAAGTGATAATCAGTCACTCTGGCGATGTGAGAGGGCTCACCTGAGTGTGTGATTCCTGGCGAGACTCGGCTGTCGTTCCTGCAGCAGGTCCAGTATGTTCGGCTGACGCAGGAACGTCACAATCTTATCATTGTAAGCTGAGGGCAAACAAAACAGACAAAAGCATAATAAAGTATGACTGAATGTCATATTAAAGTATAGTTTAGTGTAGTTTTCTCTTTGATTCTGTAGGTTTAGGTGGGTCATCATCACTGACTGACCTAGAGGCACTGAATCGGGCTGGTTCTGACTCCTGACAGCTGATACTAAACCGTTTCCAGCTCTGCTGACCAGAGACGCTCCTCTGCTTCGGGACACTTCTGACGCCTGAGACATAACACACAACATTACAGTCACAGCATGACATCCCAGAGCATTTGTGTGTGTGTGTGTGTGTGTGAGTGAGTGAGTGAGTGTGTGTGAGAGCGAGTGAGTGTGTGTGTGTG